CTGTTACAGTCCGTGTGATGACGGGTCATTACAGTCATATTTCCCCCTTCTCCAAAGCCAAAAAGCGTCCCATCCATGCTTTAGCAGCTTACCTTCCCTCCCAAGCAACAAGTCTCAAGCGGCTGGTCCATAACGATGGGACACTTTTTGGCTTTGTCAAATCGCACTGGCACGGATGGCGCCGCGCCACCATCTCACCAAGGGTCCTCTGTGACTGGTTGTGGGGACTCTGTGGAGCGAATTGCACTTTCAGTGTGTCCTGTCATATCGCATGGGCAAGTCTTCCGCTGTGTTTCTTCCTCTCTGTGCCGTGCGATACTCCTATCCTCTCCCCTTCCGATGCGCTTGAGACAGGCATTATCACACAGAGAGAAAGAAACACAGCGGAAGACTTGCCCATGCGATATGACAGAAAACACACTGAAAGTGCAATCCGCTCCACAGAGTCCCAACAACGAGTCACAAAGGACCTTCTCTGTGCAGTGACCCAATCTGCAACAAGCAACCAGGTTCATAACACTTGAGCGTCATGAGGACCCTGGGTGAGGGGGTTTCAGGTAGGCGTGTCGGTAGTTTGTCTGGTCTGACTTCATTTTCTCATTCATTTATATTTACTTTTTTGTCGTTCTGATGCGTATTTTTTTTGTTGGTGCGATCTCGGTTTTGTCCTTTGCCAGTTTGTGTTGTCTTGGTCCAGATTGTGCTGTTTCATTGTTCCATTCGAACAGGCACGGGTTTCGGACCTCTGGAGGGTGCCGTTTCGCGTTTCGTATATTGGCCCAGCTTGTCTGTTTGCGGCTAGGCCTGCATCCGTCCGTACTGTGCAGGGCAGTCCGCTTGAGGTCCAGGTCCTATTGCTGAACCAGCGAGTTGGACCTGGGGCAGACGCAGGGACCCAGGTTGTGCGTTTTTGGCCTGGGCAAGGGATGTAAGAGACCACAGCCGACTACCTGGGCCATCCGATCATGGTCTGATCGGACAGCATGATCCGACGACGTAGAAGAGAGGGGGGGTAGCGAGTTCACTACCCCAGTAGTACTTTGGACAAGGCCGGTTGAGTGGGAGGTGGGTCGGTGCACATTCACGCATTGCCGCCAGGCTGCTGGATTCGCAAGTAGGCAGCCTAGTGGTAGTGTGGAGTGAAGGTTGGAGGAGAAGAGGTACGGTGAGGAGACCTCTCACCTCGTGTCATAGCTTGGACGTCTGCCATAGCTGACTTACTTCTTCTAGATACCTGCACTGCATCAAATGCTCAAGGCTCTGCCTTTCACGGGTAACTACCTCAGAGAGAGAGAGAGAGAGAGAGAGTTCATACCTGTGTTGGATTGACAGCTTGCTGCTGCATGACGAGGCCAGTCCATATGCGGTCCCAGTCTTCCTCTGTGTTATGTTGTGCATCAGAGAGAGAGAGAGAGAGAGAGAGAGAGAGAGAGAGAGAGAGAGAGAGAGAGAGTTCATACCTGTGTTGGAGTGACAACTTGCTGCTGCACGACCAGGCCAGTCCATATGCGGTCACAGTCTTCCTCTGTGTTATGTTGTGCATCTTCCCAATGATAACGAGGAAGACTCCTGGACTTCTCATTGCTGACAGTTTGCATGAGTATGCATCATATTACCTTATCAGTCAGCACTTGGCAGGAGCTAGGGGTGCTGGTATGAGCAGACGCCTCTATCTCCCCCAGGGAGGCTCCATCTAGTGGTGGGGAGCAACACCTATGTCTGTTTATTAACAGCTATGCATGTGTTCATTTCAGCCACAAGGCTGGGGTACTTGTTCGATTACCTGCACGTCCTATACTCGTTATCTGGTCCTGACGAGAGACGGAAGGTCATCTCTGCCCAGCTCAGCTGTTCTAGGCCCCGGACATTTGTTTTCTTCAGTCACAGACTACAAACGAAGCAAAAACAAAAAAAAAAGTGAAAAAACAAAAAGAAGAAAGAAAGAAAGAAAGGAAAGAAACGAGGAAAAAAAAATCAAAAAAAGGAAAAAGCAACTTTTCAGTGCTCTAATCAGCCGCTAGGAGGGGGTGCTCATATCACCCCTCCTAGCCTGGCAGCGTGGTTTT